TTAATGCTTTAGGTGTGTCTACCATTTTGGCCACCAATTTTGATTTCATTCCTTTACATCGTACACTGATTCCTTTTTTTCTTACTTAAGGTGTTTTTGATTAGACATCATGACTTTTGGTCAATACATACCAACAAACCATACCAAATAAGAAAGTGACACTCGATAGTAACCAACATTAGCTTTAGAATCACAATCCTATCATTCAAAACAGGCTTTTACTTTACAAAAACCAACCAGATTTTTTAAAATATATGGTGGTAGTTTTTCCTCTCTAAAATAGTGTTAATAGCTTCCTTTGTAACAAATGCCATGGAATTTAGATTAACAGTTTCTTGTTATCACTCCCATGCAACTGGTACAGCTGTATCAAGCATCATTATTTATGCTAATTGCTTAAGCTAATATAACGTGATGCTAAACTCTCTTCAGTTAGGATAATTTCACAAAATGTAGTAAATTTGTGCTGAAAAGTTTGCAGTGAATAATCAATAATAACCATCCACCCATACGATTCTTTTCAGAACTTGAGGTAGAAACTGTTAATCTAGTTTTCTTGGCCTAACCAATACTTGAGTAGCTGCATGTGCTTTCACCCTATAGTTTTGCTGATCTAATCCAGTTGTCTTTAATCCGAATGACAAAAAACTAAAAATGGTCCACTCTTAGGTGAAACTGTAGTAAAAAATGTTTAACCAATAGCTCATGTGACTTTTTGTATAAGCACACGCAAAATTTTTCATCAAAGTTGAGCAGTTTTTGTTGAATAATTTGCACATGTGGCTTATGTTTACACCAAATGAGACTCCTAATTGCAGGTTGTAAAGATCTATAATTGTACAAAATTTGAAAAAAAAATCTATAACAATTAACTATGTTTTTCTACCAAATAAAGTTTCTGAACTTTTTGTGCAAAGAAAAAAAAAGTAAGAAACTCAATCAAAATTGGAGAATTTAACTTTAGATTATAATTAATAATGTGGCACCACAGATGTGAAACACGTGCTAATAATGTAGCAAAGTGGAAATTAGAAGCTGTTGTACAGAGGAATAATCTCACTTTATAAGAATGGTTTACACACGTTAATAATGTGGCACCACAGATGTGAAACACGTGCTAATAATGTAGCAAAGTGGAAATTATAAGATGTTGTACAGAGGAATAATCTCACTTTATAAGAATGGTTTACACACCACGATTGTTAAATGATACAACATTTTGAACAATGAAGTCTTCAATATTTTCTATGAAGATGGAGAAACTTTCGATGCAGGAAGCTGTTGTGGTATAGCTGGGAATATTTTCTTATATTAGTAACAAGCTAGAAAACAAGGGTATAAAGTTGATGAGGGTTTCCAAGTTTCTGCCCACACCTCAAAATCAACAGCTGTTTTTTTACATTAAAAGGGTGGCCAAGAAATCTGGAACCACAGAAATTACATTTGATCACGTACCTGTCAAGCTCCCTGATGTAGCTTGAATGGACTTTTTTCCTTTGGTCTACTTAAATGTGGTCTTCAAAGTCAACATCTATGCATAGAGAAGAATCTGTGGAAAGTTGTTGAAGATGTGTGGTTTAGGATTAATCTTGCATAATCATGGCCATCAGACCGAGCATCCTTCGACAATGGAGAAGTAGTTCTGTGGAGAGCACAGGATCAGTAATACTTCATACAGTGTAATCAACTCTTAGTACATAAACTATACAGTACAGGAAAATGAGTTGTGTTTTGTCTTTTAGGTATTGATATTTAGTCTTTAAATTTATAGTGAAATGAAAACTGTTGTAACTAAACTTCATTTTAACTTTTTTTTGTACTCTTTAGAACAAGAAAAGGTTTACTACATGATGTCCTGTTGTATGGTTTGTTAGGAGAAAACTTCAATACTAGCCAACTTGCCAAGGTAAACACTCATCATGTGTATAAATAAATAAAAAAGGGGGGGGGGCATAATTACCTCTTATATAATTTGTTATATAAGGTGTAATTAAGGGGCTTCATTTACCTGTATATTTTTTTATGGTTAACATTTATTTGTCTAGTACAAGTCATTGTTAAGCCTGATGAAGTTGTGTGATAATACCTTCAGATGTTTCATTTAGTCACAAATATAAGTGGATGATGTTTGTTATGTTTTCCAAGATACACTGATATATATTTACATCATAAAATTTGATTAGGCCATGCAAAGTTAATTATAGTTGGATCTCAAGCATATGTGGGTAGTTTTGTAACTTCTTGGTTTTTTATATCTAATAACAAGAGTGTTGTTAAGAATAGATACAGGTGTGCAATGTAACGTAACCAGTTTACAAAAATAGAGTTAGATACTATTTATTTGAATACAGAATGATACAAAATGAGATACATGTGTTACATCATGTTTGAAAGCATATTAATTATCACAGTATTAGAAATGTTATGATATATCTTGGTAGGTAACAACTTTGTATAAAGATTATAATAGTTTCTGTATATGTATGGTACAAAGTGGAAATTAGAAGTTATTGTACAGAGGAATAATTTCGCTTTATAATAATGGTTTACACACGTTAATAATGTGGCACCACAGATGTGAAACACGTGCTAATAATGTAGCAAAGTGGAAATTAGAAGCTATTGTACAGAGGAATAATCTCGCTTTATAAGAATGGTTTACACACGTTAATAATGTGGCACCACAGATGTGAAACACATGCTAATAATGTAGCAAAGTGGAAATTAGAAGCTATCGTACAGAGGAATAATCTCACTTTATAAGAATGGTTTACACACCCAGATTTTTTAACTTTAAAAGGTCCTTAAACTGTTTAGTAGTTTTCACTGCTATTGAAAGATGATTAAATTCCACGATTTATGTTACAGATTTTTTTTTGGTTTTGCATGCTTGTCATTAACTCTCACTATTGTAGACAAGCACATGTCTGTCCTTAGACCACCGCCATGGACACGCATGTGGTCACACTATATAACCTATGTTTCTACCTCGATAGGTGTGATGCCAACCACACATGAGTCTGTAATTTTGTATGAAGGTTATTCTCAGTTACAAGTTTCAGATAAATAATGAAATATTAAAACATGTCTTGCTTTGTTTTTTATTGTTTGTCGATAAATGTGGCAGTGAGAGAGTTAAATTATGTTTGCATTAAAACTGCTTAAGTTTCTGATTCAGAAAAAAAAAGCAAAATACTTACACCTATATGAATGATTTAGCTGTTCATTTGATTCAGCTCCTCACAACGTCACCATGGAGGATTCTGTTCGCTAATGTTCGTTTTCATTCAGTGGCTCATCATATTTATACATATATTTTCTTCTTGTGCTGGCTGGAATAACAGGTATATGTATATCAAGTATTTAAAACCTGTCTGATCTTCTGATATCTAACACATTATTTTATGAATACTCTGGGTATTCATTCCTGTTTATATTCAGATTAAAACTGACTGTTATCTTTCAAACATGTTTAAGCTAGACTCACTCCAAAATTTCCTCTATTGACATCTTGCCAGGGAGTATTCGCTTTTTTTTCCATCTAGATACTACTGTGAAGTATCCTTAAGTATCTATGTTTTAAATAAATTACAGAATTGTCTGAAGGAAAAAATTGATTTATACATATTAATTGCATAATAAGCTGTAAACCATTCAAATGACTCAATGTGTGTGTGTGTGTTACTATGTTTTCTTAATGTAGTATTTATGTTACATATTCCATGACGAGGAACCCACTTTGAGACTAATAATGCTTGGAGATGGCTTGAGTTGGTAATGAAAAAAATACTTTAATATAAGTACCTGATGATGACAAAACCTTGTCGAAAAGATTGTACATTTGCTGTTATGTTAAACTTATATTAAAGTTTTTCTTCATTATCCATTCAAGCCATCTCCAAGCATTATTATGTTACGTATGTTTAGTGTACTTTCAGTAGGTTCAGATTTTCCAATGGAAATGAACTCCATTGGCTTTTTAAATGCAAAAAGTTTTAAACTATTTGTTCACCAAATTGTTCCTGTGTCCATAACTTTGTTGGTTATAGAATCCCTAATAACACGAAATAAAAAATACCATCAATATTGCAATTCATCTTACTAATTACTGCTTGAAAATAAGTGATTCCCCTCAATGTTATTACATAATTGTTTTTATACGTGGTGCTGTAACAGGCAGAAAGGTAAATTACTCGATGTGATACAATATGTGTATACCACCAGTAGAGCTGGTATAAAAACAAGGTTTTAGTTAATTTAAGGGTTAATATCAACAAATGAAAGGTAGTCACATAGTCATCAACAGTAAATGAATGAAAATTTTGAGAATTATGTTGGTAAATTAATCTAATGAAATAGTTTTTAGTTCTACTAGTAAGTTTCTTTTTTTAAACTCATACAAATGTTTGAAGACATTAGTCTGCAAATTACAAGCAATTGTTTTGTAAGTGCCAATCCTAGCTCTGTGTTTTGTATCTTCCTAATGGGTAGTTTTGCTTTTTTTTTTTGTTCAGGATAAATCCTTGCAAAGAAGGAAGAAAGATCAAGACCTATTGAAAGAGGTAGTTATTTTAGTGTCATTTAAAGAGAGAGCTCACACACTTAAACAGACATATTATACATAGTAACATGAAATTGTTTTTATGTAGTATGTATACGAATATAATGTTATAAAGTTAAAACTAATAGTATTCCATGAAAATAAAGGTGAAGGTCCAGTCTAGCAAGGATTTTCCATTTTGTAATTTCCTTGTTTACGTTTTATCTACTTTTTATATGTGTGAATGTTTGCATGATATTCAGTTGTGTTGTAGGTACTTCATCAACTCCAACCATATCCCATGATAGTGATTCCTCCATCTGGTGGCTACTGGGTCGAAGGTACAGACCATGAATACAGGTTGGACTTGGAGGGAAACTCTGATGTTCCAGAGTACACATCACCCATTCAACTTGAGCTTGATGACACCCCGAGTCTCTATCGGAACATTTTTGTGGGCTTGGTAAGAAGCAGTTTTGTGTGTTTTTAGGACTGATTTATTTATGGACCCTCTTCATTTAAACCAAAAGACAAACCATTCAAAACTGTATGTAACTACATGATTCAATACGTTTTTGGAAGAAAAAGTTAACTGTAAAAGTGCATACGATAATAATCGTACAACTATTGATTAAGTTGTTCTCCAGAAATTTCTCAGATTAGTAAATTGCATTTGTTACATACTGGTTTTTCAAATCCTTACAGCCTGTAATAACAATTTGATTGATTACTAAATCTAGTTGCATTAATAGGATGATTATTTTTAATATTTATAATCTAAGTAAAGATGAATGTTTGATCCTCAAAACATTGTAATGTTCTGTGAGTATTTAATGTTTCATTTATTACATCTTGTTTTTGTTTTCATCAGGATCACTTCAATTTCACTGCCATTGATCCAAATATGGGTCATCTAGTAATGTCTGTTAAAATAGAAAATGCTTCTGACCAAGATTGGGTATGGATCCTCCTTAGGTAAGTACTTATTCCAGAGACTATAACCAGAGCACTTCTGAAAGGTGGACCTTTCTTTTTCAGGGGCAAACTTCTAGAGACTTGTAGCTTTATCCAAACGGTAGTTGTGTTACATGGGGATACATGTGAAGTGGGCCATGAGCTACCCAAGTTAAAGAGAAAAACATAGTAATAGTATTGGTTATTGTCTGAGAGAGTTAGAAAAGTATACTAGCCAAATTTTAATTTTTTTTCCTGAAGGTAAAATTCTAAAAAGTACAATATGGCCCACTCACATCCTTAACCCTGAACATGCCTATAATTGCTCGGACTGTTGATTTAAGACTTTGTATTACCTTCTCACCTTAACAGTTTTGTAATAGTGAATAGAATTTTAATTCACATACGTAATTCAAGTTATCATTTATGAAAATCCAAGCTAAAACTGAATGATGAACTGGTTTTCTTAACCTTCTCCATCATACCATCAATGGCTTATTTTTCTTCTATTTGTGTTGCCTATCTGTAAAGAGAAAGTATTGTTACAGATTGGGAGAAATTTGATTCACGTATTACCAGTAAACATAAATCTAAAATAAAGTTGCAACACTGGCATTGATACCCAATAGGAATGAAAGGTTTCAGATTTTTTAACTTTAAAAGGTCCTTAAACTGTTTAGTAATTTTCACTGCTATTGAAAGATGATTAAATTCCATGATTTATGTTTCAGATTTTTTAACTTTAAAAGGTCCTTAAACTGTTTAGTAGTTTTAACTGCTATTGAAAGATGATTAAATTCCATGATTTATGTTACAGATTTTTTAACTTTAAAAGGTCCTTAAACTGTTTAGTAGTTTTAACTGCTATTGAAAGATGATTAAATTCCATGATTTATGTTAGAGGTGCAATCAATGATTATACATTCAATCTTGTTGTGTACTATATATTTTTAAAGCATCTTTTTGTATGAAACACAAAATCCTACTCACTGGAACTGGTGACAAAATCATAATTACAACTGGACAAAACTGGAGTAATCACATTCGGAACTCAACTTACTGGAGCCGGTGGCAAAACACATCTCTGGTCGTCCAGCCGACTGGTCGACAATTTCTCTAGCAGTTCAAAAAGATCTTGTGGTCCCTGCTTGACAGAAAATATTTTTCACATTTACAGTTTCTCTGAATAAAAGATATATTCTAGAGTTTTGGAAAGCTTTTTTACATCTATAAAGGTTTCATTATCAACCTTTAACATAAACAATAATAAAACAGTGACAACTTTGAATTTTCATTTCATGATCGTGGCTAACATTACATAGCAGGTATACTAGTCTTTATTTACAAAAACATCTTTTTTTGTTTGTTTTGAATTTCCCGCAAAGCTACACGAGGGCTATCTGCGCTAGCCATCACTAATTTAGCAGTGTAAGACTAGATGGTAGGCAGCTAGTCATCACCACCCACCGCCAACTCTTGGGCTACTCTTTTACCAACGAATAGTGGGATTGACCGTCACATTATAATGCCCCCCCGGCTGAAAGGGCGAGCATGTTTGGTGTGACGGGGATTTGAACCCGCGACTCTCAGATTGTGAGTCGAGTGCCCTAACCACCTGGCCATGCCGGGCACAAAAACATCTTAGGAAATAAGTAAAAGTTAAAATAAAGAGTAAGTGAAAAAACAAAAGTCATCAGGTTTCAGTAAGATATTCCATATTTCATTTTTTGTAGTAATTTGTCTGTCAATTGTATATACTAGTAATAAAAACAAAATAATATAATGTTGTAAAACAAAATAATTATCTTAGTATATATATTTCAGTGGCTCACTCTCACCCCCCCCCAAAAAAAAAATATATTAAAGAACGAAATACCATATCAAAATTAACTGATTAGTACGTAGTTGCCTTTATAATATCTACTTGAAGAAATGTTTATTGGTGTATTTTGCATCATGAGCAATTTTGGCAGTTTTAATACATTAATGCTGACTTAACTGAATAAAAAAATGATCACCCTGCAAATATTAAAACAACATCATTTTGAAGTTTCACACTTGAAATTAATCAACGGCTGAATCTAAGGAATTCGTATTCTCTATTTGAAGTGATGACTAATAATGTATGTTCACGCTACACCTTCCACCATATTTCTGTATTATAGAAGCAAACAAAGGACTATCTGTGTATGTTTATCTAAAAATGTTGTTTATGGCATGCTAAATCTATCTTCAATTTGAATCTTTTCAGAAGTTTTATTAAAAATCTAACCCATATAAAAGCCAGCATGTGTCACGTCACGTCACATTTGATTTCTCGAAATAGGAGAAGTTATAAAAGCCAAAATGTATTTATCCAGATAGAATAATCCAATTACTGTCTGCCCATTACAATTTTAGTGACAGGGGTGCAAAGGGGTGGTCGTGCCATGAAACCTTATAAGTGTTTTGGGTGTTGGTATAATAAGCCTAAAGACATAGTGTGGGATCACCCAGTCTAGAGCCAAGTGCATAAAATTTATCATAAATTGAAAGTAAAAATATCGATTCATTTTAAAACTTAAATCTTATCTAAATTAAGCTATTTTCTGTTATATCACCAACATTGGTAATAAAAAACAAACCTCTTTAATCAACGGAGGTTCTAAATTAAGAAATCAACAAATATTTTTCCACTCTTGTTGTCTATACATTTCATTTTATACATTTACTATATAGACTAACAAAAATATTAGGTTATACTTTTGTTGCTAAGCGACTTGACCTAAAACAACAGTTGGAATGTAGTGTTACTAAAACATACTGGCTTTTCTATATATTAGAAGATATTAATCTAACTGATTTTTACCAATAATTATTCTTTGAAAATGCCACAAATTCATTTCATCAATGAACTTAATTTTTATTGGCTCACAAAGTAACTTACTGACGTTTGACTGCCTCGACTGCACTTTTCTGCCTTTTTGTTGAACAAACTGGATTTCGCAAAATTTATTTATTTCAGTTAGCTATAAAATGTAAGGTTAGGGTATACTATGGGGTGGGGGTGGTAGTATTTGCCCTGTTATTCTTGACAGGCTATATGCTAGTTCGAATATAATGAGCATAAAAAATTATACAAAAATTTATCATTGTAACCTGCCTCTAAAAAAAAAAATAAAAAAAATCAACAAACAATTATTTTCAAATTATATTATAGCCCTATTTCTCTGTATAAAATAATTTATTTTTTCCATATCAAATATCTTAATAAAATTTATCAGTAACACAACTATTTTGTCTTAGTTCTGATTTTTGATCATTAGTGCCCACTGGAACATGATTTAGTATGACTTGAATTGATTAATCTTTAACTTTTTAATCATTCAGACAAGAATTAAAGCAAAACTGCTGAGTTTTTCATTTTGGAAGAGCTGATAAACATCATACTGGGAGATTACTCAGAACTCTATCTTAATGTGTGTTCATGAATCACAAAATTAATTAATAAACAGATACTGAAGAACACCTGGACAGTCAGTATTAATAATTGTATACTTCTTTTCAGGATAAGCAAGAAACTAATTCCAGTGCTTAACCAAATTACATACAACTTTCAATGAGCATTAACAGTGGTGATAATCTAAAGGGTAACGTTTAGCGTCTGCTTTATCGGAGATACCAAAACTGGTTCTGTTATGTGTTTATCAAATCACTAGCCTTCCAAACATGATGGGAAGCCAAAGCCTACCAAATTTGAATCCTTTAGTATGCATTTGCAGCTTGTAAACAGCCATAAGAAAAATAAAGGGCCTTCTAACTTTGAGAAATCAAAGCCTATCATGACCATTATGTACTTTACCTAAAGTGTCTCTTCCTAGCATCGATCTTTGTCCCAGCATTCACTGATCACAGTTATTTTCTAATCACATCAATTGCATTGTTGCAATAGTTCTCTTAAAACCACATTTCTTGTAAATATTCAATCATTGTTAAAAAAAATTTCTCTTCATAATAAACAGCAAATTAATTTCACCAATTGCTAAATAAATCCTTGGTATAAAAACTCCCTCCTTGACAGGCTTTTATATAGCAGAAATAGTGCTGAAATTTAGAAGCTATTTATGTCTGTGTTTAAATTCAACTAAAATGAGAACAGGTAATGAAAAGAGGAAGTATTATAGGAGAAAAGGGAGAATTTGACTCGTGTAACTTACAAAATTTGGAGAAATTGAGCATGATCGACTGACACTTGGCTTTTATGATTATGTTCATACACTTCACAACTGTACCTGCCAAAATATATTAACTCCTTTGTTTCACGATACCTTTCAATTACATGCTTTCTTGAAAAAGCCATGGTAATTTTGGGACTTTTAATAAAATATCAACGTTTTTAAGTGTTTTTCCAGGTGTATAACTGTCCCTCTCAGTCATAAATAACCTCCCAGTAGTGATTTCTTGACAGGTATATAACTTAATCTCCCTTTATTGAGAAGGGGTGGGTGGGTGTTAAAATATAGATATATATACCCTCTACTACAATTGAAACTGTCAGATGCCAGGCAAGTGCTCTACCAACTAAACTAAAGAGTTAACCTTGGCTTTTGCTAATAAGTCACTTTGAAACAACCCAAATGATATAAGCTGGCCTAATGAGCCCTGGTGCTGACGTAAAAGCTGGCTTAATGAGCCCTGGTACTGACGTAAAAGCTGGTCTATTGGGCTCCGGTGCTAACGTAAAGGATGGCCTACTGAGCCCTGGTACTGAGGTAAAAGCTGGCCTAATGAGCCCTGGTACTGACGTAAAAGCTGGCCTAATGAGCCCTGGTACTGATATAAACAGGCCTAATGTTATTAGTAATGAGCCCCGATACCGGGCAAAAGGGCTCCTCAGCATTGGATATGGTAGATATAGTGTGATTGACAAATTATTATACATTCCTCTTTATTTTCACTCTTAAACTTTTAGAATAAGTATTCAATTGAATTACTTCTCTGTAATCTGTGCTTGCAATAATACTCAAATAGTACTATGTGCC